CTCCACATTATAGTTATATTACTTTAGTGTGTGTATGTGAGGGGGGGGGGGGGGGTACGTGCCTCCAGCAACACGGTGCCTTACGGTTCTGGGCTGCCCATGTTCATAATTTCAACATGGCTTGCGTAAGGCCTGCAGCCTCGTAAGACCTACAGCCTCACTTGCAACAGCTGGCCGCCGAGAAATTTCATTAACTAACGTCAGTTGTTTTAATTCATCACACACCAGAGGGCTTCTTTCTAACAACAAAAGGCGAGACTCATCCGGGAACTTGCTTCCATCCCGGCCTCCACTGGGGGACAGTTCAGGATCCCGGGTGTTTGCTTAAGCGCATGCACGCGTCACCATTCACGATTTTTAGGAGGCGACGTGTGTCGTTGAACTTGGATGACAGGCAGTTGACACTAAAGTTTGACGTAATTGGGCTTCAACAGGTAACGATCTTTTCTGGGGTCTCATTCTTCGAAGCATTGTCTGGAGTCGCATGACCGTGCTGGTGTGCGCAGGCTTGTTCTGTCACCAAAGTTGGATGCAGAAACCCGAACTCAGGCAGGCCGGCCCTCGTACGGCATCTTGTTGTAAACTGCGCGGTCCACACCAGCTTCCATTACCCGTCCAGTCATTGGGCCGGGTCGGTGTCCTGGCTGTCGAGGCCCATCCCCATCCGCCGTCCTCGCTGGCGAGGCCCGTCCCCACCCGGCGCCCGTGCCAAAACAAGATGGCGGCGGCGGCGGGCCAGCCGGCGGAGGCCTATGGCCGGGCGCCGAGAAAAACTGGCGGCCGGCGGGCGGCGGGCGCGAGCGATCGATAGCCCCGCCCCCGGAGCGGCGCCACCCGAGCAGTGGTGCCGCCGCCCCCGGCCTCGGGCGCGCCGGCCCGCCCGGTCGGTCGCGCGGCGGCCGCCACTGTGGCCCGCGCAGGCAGCCGGCGGCGCACGAGGTGGCGGGCGCCGCGGTAAGGCGCTCCCGGCGTCCGGCTGGCCGACGATCGAGAGGGGACGACTTTCCCGCAGGTGAGCCGGGCCGCTGAGCCGGGCCGCTGCAGCGCGGCACAAGTGGGACAGGGCTGAGGTGCATCGCAGCGGCTGGTGCAGCGCGACTGCTCGGGGTTCGCTTCCGCACTGACGGACGCCGACGCCGCTGGGGCTGACAGCTTTGTTGTAATGAGCTCTGTTGCCATCTGCAACTGACTCACCGCGCCGACAAGTGTGACTCATACGATGAGTCGACAGTCTGGTGCAGGTGTCAGTTCGTAGATGCTTGCGGGGATTTCGCAACAGGCCGTGGAGAAACTTGCATGTGAATTCAAGGTCTTAAAACGTCGAAGTTAAACCGAACTCTATGACAAACTGTACCCTAGCGTTTGCGTATCTTGGAACTACGTTTGTATGCGATTACGACTGACGCAGCCATAAACCAGATCCAACCACAAGAAAGACTTGACTGTGTTGTAATTATAGTATTTTCTTGCAGGCAAATAACTGATTTATGTAAAATGTGTTTAATAAGCTCTCTTACCAATCACATTTGGATGTTGTGCTTCGCTGTGGTGGGTTGCTTTGGAAATGTATGCATTCAATGCAGACAAGTGAGACATTGCTAGCTATGTTCCCTGACGTCATCGCCCTGGCGATGCTATCCCAGTGCTTTACCTATGGAAGCATATTCCCGGGGGTGTGCCCAACGGGGACACTGGGCACGTGCTCAACACCTTGATACAAACTATACATGCACCAAGTTGCGTATGGCAAAATGTCGACAGTTCGAAAATTGAGCTACACAAACACAAATAAACAGACTGAAAGCATATGAAGCTGATATGTGCCATAAGTAAAGTTTGACTAACTTTTCACTAGGGAATTGGTAGTTGTAGTCATCTGTTGTGAAATTCTGTATATTCTTCACAGTTTTTTTCATTTTTGTAGCATCTATTATGGCTTTTTGTGTATTGAAGCTAAATTATTTCGACAGAGCATGGGCTGTGATGGGTCAGGCGTATGTGTGAATGCGTAAAGAGTAGTGCGCATGCGCGCCGGTGCCACAGGCTGGTGGACCTTTTGAAAAGCCGCGGGTCGGCGCACCGAGGACGCATCCGCAGGGCAGGCCCTCCACCGCAGGGGATGCTTCCCTCCACCGCAGGGCAGGCTCTCCACCGCAGGGGATGCTTCCCTCCACCGCAGGGGATGCTTCCCTCCACCGCAGGGGATGCTTTCCTCCACCGCAGGGCAGGCCCTCCACCGCAGGGGATGCTTCCCTCCACCGCAGGGGATGCTTCCCTCCACCGCAGGGGATGCTTTCCTCCACCGCAGGGCAGGCTCTCCACCGCAGGGGATGCTTCCCTCCACCGCAGGGGATGCTTCCCTCCACCGCAGGGGATGCTTTCCTCCACCGCAGGGCAGGCTCTCCACCGCAGGGGATGCTTCCCTCCACCGCAGGGCAGGCCCTCCACCGCAGGGGATGCTTCCTCCCATCCCTCCGTGTAGGCACTCGTGGCAGGCGGAACACAGGGGGCGCTGGGGTGCGGTGCCCCGGCTCAAATCGTTAGGTGGGGATGACTCTCTCGTACTTGTCGTTCCTGTTATGGCTTCCCCGTTGTTGACAGGCTTCCTGCCGCCACCATACATACAAACATACGCATATATATATATATATATATATATATATATATATATATATATATATATATATGCGCAACTCTGCCCAACCAACCAACTTCTCTCAGCATTCTTCCACCTCTCACCTCATCTATCTTCAACTTAAGACTGCAGACTGCCATTTGATGTTGAGACCGTCACGTCCATACAGCTCGGCAATATTATTATCCATACGAATTGTGACGGACAGCCCTTAAAACAATAACTGAACGTACAACATTACAAGAGGTGCAAGAATCCGATCAGTGACATGGCTGAAAATTTCAAGAATTCCAATATTGTTTCACCCTTGCTTGAGGGAGAGAGGGAAAGGGGGTGTGAGAGATATTGCACTCATGTGTATGGCGGCAGCAGAGCGTGAATTTGGCAGCCGAGCGCACTCGGCGCGGTCGCCGCCGGTGCCGGTCTGACCGCGAAACAGCGGCGAGACCACGCCCGCCTGAGGCCTGCGCCGCCGGGGAACAGGCACGGACGGCAGGGAGGCAAGACCGAGAGCTGATGAAGGGCAAAGGTCAGAGAAGTGGAGGGGGTGTAAAGAAGCCGAAAAGAATGCCAGCAATCAAGGAAAATGCACAGAAGACCGCGGGACAAGCATGAGGCTGAAGAAAAAAGCAGAGGAGGGGATGCACACAGGGGGCTCAGATGCACGTGCGGCGAGGGCGGCAGACTGGAAAGAGTGAGCGGTGGATGTTGCCGGATTTGCAGTCAGCTGTGGTCAGCCGTGTCCGTGCCGCTCCCGCCATCCAGGGCTTTCCTGGAGCCTGTCGGGCCGTCTCCGCAGTCCGGTCGGGCCCTCGCGGCCGCCCGCACCGGCGGGGGACGGCCCCGGCTGCTCCTGCTCGTGCTGTCCCGGCTCGGACAGGGGTAGCATCCCGTCAAGCAGACTAGGATCTGGTGGCGGAGGACATGTATGTGATATGGGTCGGGTTGGCAGCCCAGTGCTACATGCCCTTAGCATTCATTTTAGACAGTCATTCTCCGAACATTGGGTGCTCGGTCTGGCCACCCTAAAGCAGTCAGCGCTTCATGGCTAGTGCTGAATATACGCTTCATATACGAAACATCCACAGCCCACACAACCTGCTTTGGATTGTATCCGCCGAATAAGGACACTACATAAAGAATGCTAAAAGGGCGTAAAGAAGTGTTCAGAGAACAAAGCAGGTGATTAACAACTCAAGCCAATTCTCCAAGAAATGCCCCAAGCTGCTCAAATGATAAAGATACGAGGGCAGCGTCATGGCTTTCATCGACAGTATCTCGTTTTGTCGTCGGCCAAACTTCCACTTCTCTGTTCACAGCTCCTAAAGTCAGTATTGAAATGCGAACTAATGGCCATCTCCAGTTAAGAATGGTGTAGAGAACAAGGTCGAGATGCATGCGCTCAAGTTCACCATGACAGATGTGACAACCCCACAAAGCATGGCCATAACCAGCTTGCACACGTTCACGCATTCCATCCGCCTTTCCCGCTTTGTCCGTCCCGGCAGTTTCCCGAGTCTGCGTAAGCAAAACTCGAAATTCCGCCTCGCCCGGCCGGTGAGGCCGCGTCCCGGTGCAGCGAGCGTGTGTCGCCGGCGTCGGCGCGGCGCCGGCGCGGCCGAGCTGGGCCGGCCGGGCGCCTCTCTCTCGGTCGGCCGGCCGCCTCCCCCGCCGCCGCCGGCGCGCATTGCATGCCGGTGGCCTTGTAGGTTGCCTGCAATCCGCAGCGCGGCGCTGGCGGCGCGGCCACTTTTTCCGTGCCGCTTTTTTCCGGCGTCGGCTGGCGGCCGCGAGTCAATGAGTGAGCGTCGCCGCCGCGGCCGCCCGCTCGGCCCGCTCCGCCCGAGCCGCGCGCGCGCCGCCAGCTGACGCCGCCGCTAACGATCGGCGCCATGGGCCGCCGCCATGGGCCGGGCCTGCGACCCAGCATGGCCGCGTGACCGGCGCGCCGCCGCCAGCCGCCGTCCGCCGGCCGCCGGTCGTCCCAGCCCGAGCGCCGGAGCGCCGGAGCGCCGGAGCGACGGCACGTGGCCAGCCGCGGAGACAGCCGCCGCCCGTCCGTTGACCCGCCCGATCGTTGTGTTACGTCACTTATGCAACATTGCAGCGGGCCGGGCCGGCGGCAGGCGGCCGGGCGCTGACAGTGCGCGCGAGTGCGTGTGCCGGTGGGGACGCGCGGCCGGCGCCGCTCCATGGAGAGCGTCAACGGCCGGCGCGGTGTGACGCCGCCGTTCGGAGCGCTGCCCAACGGCGGTGTGGTGAGCTCGGCCGGCGTGCCAGGGCCCGTTCGCCGTCAGCTCGGCGACCGCCTCGCTGGCCGGCGCCCCAGTGGCCGGCCTCAGCCGTGACCTCCGCCAGCTTCGCCATGGCGCCGGCGGGCCTGACGGTGACCCCGACCAGCCTGGCGCTGACCTCGGGCCGCCAGTCGGTGCCGGCGCTCTCGCAGAGCCCCCTGCTGCCGGTGCAGGCCGGAGTCGTGTTCAGCCGCAACCGATACGGTCAAGGTAACGTGCCCAGCGACGCGGCCTGCCGGCCAGCGGCCGCGGCCGCGGCCGCCGGCCCAGCTGGGCCTTGCGACGGGCGCTGTGCAGTCGCCAGCGCAGGTGTCACTTGGGAGGAGTGCGTGTCATAGATGTCGGGGCTCGTCGTCGTTGGCTCTCGCGAACTTGCTGCAAGCAGACTTGTTTGGCATTGTGTCACATAAGAACGTGTTTCATTTCACTGGGCCATGTGGATTTAGAATGGCCTCACCCCCGCTTCACGCTTGGTGGGACAGCACGCAAGGGCGTGGCTCAACGGCTTTCGCTGCGCTTCAGTACGAAATTCCGCACCGCCGCATCAGAGTTTAAGTGTAGCACTGTGTCTATACATGAAGCTGATCACGTGCGAGCGAAGGTACGTTTTAGCGCCCTCTTGCACGACTTAGCGTTGGTTGCCTCCATCCCTCCCCCAGAAGCTCAAAACTGAAATCCACAGGATCAGCAACCACGCCTCGAATTAAGCTGGTGTCTCTGGCCAGCCCGTGACACGGCCTGTGCAGCTCTCTCTGTGTCACGGTGTCACGGTGTCAGCGCCGTTCCCGCAGAGGTGCGGGCGGCGGTGCTCGGTGGAGGCTGTGGCGTTCTCAGCGCGCCGCGGCGTTCTCGGCTCGGCCGACCTTGGCACGCTTGTTTGTGTGATAACGGCCCGACCGGGCCGCGGCCCGAAGGCCCGCACGCTTGCATCCAGGTGTTGTTCTGCCTCAGGCGAATAGTGTGAATGAAGGTCTTGGTGCGCGGCCGTACGTCAGCGGTGGCGAGCAGCGCGGCGCGAACGGGCCGCCCCAGTGTACTGACGGGGGAAGTCCGTCGCGTCTGCGGTGGACCGGCTTGATATATGGGTCGGCTAATGTCGTTCAGAGGCACCTTGTTTCGCTCGGGCAGCTTCATGGTGTCACATCACATTCAAGCGACCATTTCATCGTTGTTCGCCATCAGTGCTGCATCATCGCCTCCTGACACTGGGGTGGGTTGATGCCGTTTTTTGTGCTCGATAGTCTAAAAGGTCGTGAAATGAGATCATATAATGTGGTATGAACGCATACTACAGGGTAAATTTGCTGCATCAATTCGAGAGCACAATCTTCAGAAACATGGGACAGCTAAGACATGCGGAAATAGCAGATCCAGGGAAGTACGGGTCTGAGTGGTAAGACATAAACGTGTTAAGCATACATAAAGTCAGAACTTTACAGACTACGCCAAATGACATGCACATTTTTCAAATGCCTGTGGTCAAAAAGTATCTCCAGCCCTCTGAGCTTTAATGTCGTTCAGGAGCACAGACATCACTTTCTTAACAGAGATGGTGAGGGGGGGGGAGAGACGGACCTTGGTGAGAGGGCAGCACGCACAATGTATTGAAACGAAGTGCACTTCAATATGAAGCCTAATGAGCACAACCTGTGCAAAGGAAGTGCGCTCATGTGCTGCGTAGGCCCAGACTGGAGGCTTTCACGGGCAGGGCAAACCAACGAGTAACCCGCGATGGCTGAATAGCGACCTCGGCAGAAGTACGGTCATGGGAAGGCCGTACGGCCGTTGATATCGCAACGAACGTAGAATCAAAATTTGTATAGAAACCATACGTAGCGACTAGTTTTGCTTCATTTGTCAAAGTTAGCCGCATCCCCACCTTTTGATATTGTCAGTGTAAAACAAAAATCAACTTAGTGGCATGATGATGTTAATCTCTGGCGTAATTGAAACCAGACCCTTGGGAAATGGTAAATTAGCGGTGTTTTGGTGGCATCTGGGGGGTGCAGATGCATCCCAGTGCTTCAGAAATTTAGCACCACCTTCATGCAGGACTGGATGAGAGGAATGTATGCACAAATTAGTGTCATCATCCTTTCCAATTTTCGCCAAGTTCTGCTTCCGTTGAACTCGTGATGCAACTCGGGCGCATTGGCGTAACGGACGAACGTGTAGCTGCAGGGTATTGCCAAAACCCAGTTTATAATGTGGATTGGGTAAAAAACTCCCATCACTGAATGCCGCTGAATGACGGTTCAAGTTATAAGTGTGTACCTTAATATACATGAAAATAGCATATCCGGTTGCATTTTACTTGCAGCGCACGTACACGTGGTAAAAATCTGCCTCGGGTGAGGATGGCAAATTTCCTCTCAAATCATCCCAATTAAGACCAACTTCCCGCGAATTCGCCCAATATTTAGTGTCAACCTCTTGGTTCAAGGGCAGCTTTGGCCCCCTGCCCCCTGAGCCAAGGCCCCTGCCCTCACCCATTGGCTACGTCTCTGGATGTGCATGATGTTCACAAGGCTGGTAGCTTTATTCAACATCTTTACTTCATAAGCCGCAAACCCTATATAACGGAAGAATGTTAACCGAGTTGCTGCATTTCGCGGCACTCTTTCCTGCGATCAAATGAAAGACGTGCTTCGCTTCATCACTTTAGACGGGCTGCAAACCAACAGAGATGGGTACCCCGCGTTTGCAAGTCCCTGAAATTACATGATGTCATCAAGACCATTTGCCTGTACCATTCAATACGATTTCAGTCTCCTGGTTTTTTCTATTTCGATTTCTGGCCGGGGACGTCCACCACCCACAGTCGCCATTGCGGAGCCAGACCGCACCACAAAGCCGCTATGGCCGAGCCCCCACAGTGGCGCCCCAGCTCCTTCAGTGAAGCAGACTATGCACGGCGACGTACGCACGTGAGGTGTGGTCCAGGACGTCACGCACGCCGGTCTACGCCCCAGGTCAAGAAACACACAGGCTGTGTGATGTGTAAATTGTTAAGTGCATTTATGGGGAACATTATTATCGTAGATAAGACAGTAGTAATAGCCTCATACCCCGGAGAAAAACCAGGAAAATGGAGATTCTGTTATTGTTTCGATGAAGGGATGTTGGTGAAATATCATCACATGTATATCTCCGTTCTCCTGGTTTTTTTTCCTATGAAAGAGGCTATTACTACTGTCTTGCCTAGCCACACAGATTGGCTAGATGTAAACCTGCACGTCGAATTGCATTGAACATGGGCATAAAAATGTAAAGATATTCCGAAGCAAATGGCATTCTGAACCAACCGATGTTTTCTTGTAAGTATGTGGTGTCTCAGATTCCACAGATCATGCTCCCTGAAGTGTATGCAGCATGCTTTCATGCACGCATGTGCCATGCTTCCATGCTGGCATGTAGCATAGCGAGCTCATAGAGCATTTTATAAGCTTTCGGCAATCTGAGTAAATACGCAAAAGGTGTCAGTCATTGCTCGACAGGGACCCGTCCACTCTGCAAGACAGTGGTGCTGTCGCTTCCTACCCGCGAAGCCCCGCAGCTCCAGGGCGGCAGGTTATAGGCCGTCACCGCCTGTCGCCGTTTGGCGGCAAGCACGGATCGCGCTGTTTGAATTTCGGCTCCGTTTTTGCGGCTTATGACAGTTTCGCACCGTGCCGCCTCGTCTTCCCAGCTGCACGACGCGGCTGCAATGGTGCAAGCCTGCAATGTTCAGCAGTTGTGAGAAGTTCCTTTATTTAGCGGAGCAGCTGGCCGGAGAGGGGACAACACCGAGCATTTGCATGCAAAACTTTGTTTACCCACGCAGGGGTGAAAGAAAGATCAAGAGAAGTTGCATGGCCGCAAAATCACGCTGCAAGCCGTAGCCGGCTTTGTTTGAATTCGTGTGAAAAATAAACAGCCCGCCAAAAAATAATGGGACGTTGGGATTCTGCCAATCAGGTTTGTCGCACGTATGGTATCTAACAACAAGGCTCTGTAGAAGCCATGAGCGCCGCTTCCCACCGGTCACGTGCGGCCTTTGTCCGATCACTAGTCCGAAATCACGGCCCTCGGGCGCCACGCTGCGGTGCGATTGCGTAATCGACGCTGACGCCAGCGACAGTTCTCCAGACCGCAGGCACGGCTAGCCGAGCTTACAACAGGACAAACGCGTCCAGAAAGGTGAAGTGTGTGGCGTTTTGCCTCAGCAACATAATCCAGGGTTCACGGACCCAAATGGGGCAATGGCCATTGTCTCAATATGGATGGGACCGACGCGGGAGAAGAGCGATACCGCCATGTCGCCTTGTCCGGCGTTGAGAGAGGCAGCAGGCGAGGCTGCCGGGCGGTCTCCCCGGGCTTTCCAATGCACGCTCGGTCGCCCCCCCCCCCCCCCCCACCCGCCCTCCCTCTCGCGACTGGGACGCACGGCTGCGGTGCTGAAAAATATACGCAGCACGTGAATGTGGACCATCTTAATACGCGCCCGCGTGGCCGGCTGGATACGCTTTGCTCGGGAAAGGGAGGTCAATTTGACCCCGCTAAGATCTCAGGAACGAAGAGAGCTAGATACACCAAATTCACAGGGTGTGTTAACCTGTACGTGAACTCACTTAGGCTGAGGTTTGACGTACCTACGTCATGAACTTCGGGTCAAATAAGGTTAAACAGGGTCAAATTTCAGGTTGGTCACCTAAGGGCCACTAGAACCCTAGATAACTGTCCTACGCAAAAGGTCACATGCTCCCTTAGGGTCAATGACCTTGCTTAATTTTTTTAAGGTCATGGTGATCGAAATCACACAAAACTGCTTTGCGTTTTGCATTTGAATAAGCGACAAAAATTACGCTAGACAGCGCAATGTCTATGGAAGGTGTATAATACTGTTTCTGTTATCAACAAATTCGAAATCAGCTCCAGAAACTACCCCATACAGCAATCCTTTAAGTGATAAAACAGGTTGGGTTTGACCTTGTTCTGACCTTCACACCTGACTCTAGGTCAATGGAATTTGATCATTCCATTGTCGTGTTGCCCAAGAAAGAATCTCAGAGATGTATGGCTTCGTCAAACACTCCGTTCTGGGTCAGATCGAACGATTCCCTAGAAATTACCTTCGCTGAAACCATGGCCTGACTTTGACCTGCCATAGGTCAGTGAACTTACAAGGTACATCTCATTTTTTTATGCCAAACGATTTGCTATTTAGTTGT